GGGCCAGGAGGTGGGACAGGGACCCCCGGCCCGGGCCGCTCCCCCGCGCTGGGCCTGACCCCCAAGGCTGCAGCACCGCCCTGAGGCCTCCCACGGGGACACACGGCGTGTGAGGGGCTGGATCGCCCTTTTCTCAGCTGCTCCCTGGCGTCCCCCCGCGGCGACGGCAGAGGCTGGACCCTGGGACAAAACGGGGACCCTCCACCGTTTTGTGACATGCCAGCCAGCCTTGTACCCCTCCCTGCCTCTGGCCTGCAACACCACGGGGGTCCCCAAGCTGGGAACGCCCTTCACCCCCCATCCCACAACCACAAACATTCGCCAGACGGCCCCGTACTTTCCCGTTCCACAAGAGAAGAAAGAAAAAGGATCACGGGGCCCTTTATTTGTCAAGGGGCTCGAGATACAAGTGGTTTCACATCAAGTCACAAGCTCAGGAACCGGAAGGCCACAGGACAGAGACACCTCCTTGCAACAGCGACAAACACAAGGGCAGGAGTCGGGTCTGGCCTGGCTCCGTCTCCCCTCGCATCGCTACGGACAAATTTTCTTTCGAGCTGGAACCCACCACCACCAGATCCCTGCACAGCAGCAGAGCCGGGGGGGGTCCCTTCCACAACCAGCCCAGCTCTGCCAAAAGCTGGCGCTCTGGGTGCAGGGTCAGTCCCGCAGAGCCCACGGGAGCAGCGCAGGACGCCCATCGCTGGGCACGGCCGAGCCTGTCCCGAGGGCTCTAATTGCCCTCCGCTTTCCTCCGCAGCTCGTCGAAGACCTCACTCTGCCTCCTCTTGTCCTTGGCGCGGATGATGGTCATCTTGAAGAGCTTGCAGTAGAGCTCCATGGCGGAGGGGCTGTCGTCGTTCCCGGGGATCGGGTAGGTGATCAAACAGGGGTTGCAGTTTGTGTCCACCACCCCCACCGTGGGGATGTTCATCTTGGCAGCATCCCGGATGGCCACGTGAGGCTCGAAGACATTGTTGAGGCTGCTGAGGAAGATGAAGAGGTCGGGCAGGCGGACGCCGGACCCGAAATGGATGTGGGCGTTGGTGAGCAGGCCGCCCTGCCAGTAACGGGTGTGGGCGTACTCCCCGCACTCCCGTGCCGTGCTCTCGACGAGGTGGCAGAACTGGCGTTTGCGGCTGATGAAGAGGATGATGCCCTTGCGGTAGGCGACGTGGGCGGTGAAGTTGAGGGCCAGCTGGAGGTGCTGCATCGTCTGATCCAAGTCGATGATGTCCTGATCCAGGCGGCAGCCGAAGATGTAGGGCTCCATGAACCTGCAGGGGCAGAGGGAGGGCGACACAAGGGGACGCGGGGACGGGGTGCTGCATCGAGCAGAGGTTCCGAACGTGGCGTGGCCCCACCGAAACCTTCCCACGCTCCAGCTCCCAGCCGATACCAGAGGTGCTCTCTGCTGAGACCCCCTGTGCACAGCGCCGGGTTCAAGGGGCTGCAGGTCTCACACCCCTCTCCGTGCCCCACGCTGACTCGCGTCCTTCTACTTTCGCAGGGCAGCAACCGTGCCCAGGTAGAAATGGGGGTCTGTGTGGGCAGTTGCAGACCCAGACAGATCTACTGCAGCCCCCAGAGGCTGACAGGGCCTAGGGAAACACTCAACACCATCAAGCCCTGGATCACAGAACAGGGTCACTCACCTATGCCGACATCCCTTTTTGTGCCCCAGGTGCACTCGAGCATCAAAGAGATCTTTCAGAGAGAAGAGCTCCTTCACGTTGAAGAAGTCGGGGTGCTTGAGCGGCTTGGACAGCAGCTTGTCATCCACCGCTGAGAGAAGGGGAATTAAAAAAAACATATTAAAAAATCATTGTTCTCTCTTGTTGTGTCTGCAGGGGATGAGCCGGCACTGGAGAAAGGGCTCACGGCCACCTGCCTGCCCCAAGGGCCCGGCAATCCCAGCCAGGACATTGCTCAGGTGCCGGTAGTGCCCAGGGGTGCAGAAGCCCGGTTTGGGGGGACCCCTGCCCCCTCCTTTTCCCCGAGGAAGGGG